GGGCTTGGTGGCATAAGCCTGTAGTCCCAGCTACTTGGGAGGCTGAGGCAGGAGTATCGCTTGAACCTGGGAGGCAGAGGTTGCAGTGAGCGGCGATCACACCACTGCACTCCAGTCTGGGTGACAGAGTGAGACTCCATCTCAAAAGAAAAAGAACATGGATCAAGAGCTTAAGGTGTGCTAAGGGTTTGGCAAGTATGATTTCATTTAGTCCTCAGGGAGGGCACATGGCCCCACTTTTCAGACGGTAAACCTGAGGCTTTGAAAAGGGGCAGGCGTGGTGAGGCCACCTAGCTGGGTAGGGGGTAGAGGCAAGATTTGAACTCTGATGTATGTAACCAGGGCCTCCGTGCTGTCTCCTTTTTAACAGCGACGTTCACTTTTGAGAATAAGAACAGCAGCCTCTGTCTGTGGATGGCTTGTGTGTCAGGCACCCTGCTGAGAGCCTTCATACACAGCATCTTATTTAGTGCGGCAGGAACCCTTTGAGTTAGGGTCAGTGGAAGACATTTAGAAGCTCAGCACATTGAAAGGGATCCTGGAAACTGCCAACACCCTCCTCTACCCAAATATATATTCAAACTAGAAACCCCGCTAACATAAATGAAAATCCAAGAATGGCCTAAATTTTCACCCTGTGATAATCCTTTTAATGGATTCTTAGAATCAAGTTATTTAACAAGCAGATATTGTCCCAGGGGTAGAGGGTGGCAGGGGAGAAGGAGAAGCTTCACTGATGTCCTGCATTCGTGCTTAAGGGACTCTGGAAATTTAGCATTGCTTCAAAATATAGATTATTTATTTCCACTTGACAGAGGAGGATGCTGAGGCTCAAAATTAGGAAAGAACTTGCCCCAAATCACACAACTGAGAAGTGGCCTAGCTCTTACTTAAATTCAGGGCTATGTAGGAACTGCAATAAAATCCCTAATAATAACCACAGGAAGAGTAATAGTATTGGGAGCGTCTAACATGGTAGGCACAGCTATGTTTTATACACCAATTATTTTATTTAGGCCTGCTGGGTTCCTGTTATAACTGAGGGGTCATGTTCTCCATTCCACCTGGAGCTCAGAGAAAGCATACCATGTGGACACTGGCAGAAGCTGCCAGTGAATGAGCTGGGGTTCAGGGTGGCCCACAAGTCCTCAAATACTAACTTGTGGGAGTTGGGGGGATGGGAACTATGGGATGTTGGAAGCTCCTGCCTCCTTCACGTTCTGCCCGGATACCATTTTGTCAGCGAGGCCTCCCCACCACACACTGTTTGTTTTGTTTTGGTTTGGTTTTTTGAGCCAGAATCTTGCTCTGTCGCCCAGGCTGGAGTGCAGTGGCACAATCTTGGCTCACTGCAACCTCGGCCTCCTGGATTCAAGCGATTCTCATGCCACAGCCTCCTGAGTAGCTGGGATTACAGGCGTGCACCACCATGTCCGCCTAATTTTTGTATTTTTAGTAGAGACAGGGTTTTGCCATGTTGCCCAGCCTGGTCTCGAACTCCTGAGCTCAAGGCAATCCGCCCACCTCAGCCTCCCAAAGTGCTGGGATTACAGGCATGAGCCACCACGCCCGGCCAGGACCACCGTATTGAAAATTTCAATCCCCCAACTTCTGGTGGTCCGCATCCCTGCCTCATTTTTCTCCAGAGCACCCATTACCAACCATCAAACTATGTTTTATGTATTTACCATGTTTACATTCTGTCTCCCTCCACTAGGAAGTAAACTCCATGTGACAAAGGGGTTTTTTTTTCATTTGTTTAATGCTGGGTCCCCACACCAAGAACGGTTCCTGGCACACAGCAGGTGTTCAATGATTATTGGTACATGGAGAGAAAAAGATGGAGTCTCAGGATGACCTAGAGAGTAAGGCAGGAGGAAAAGATAAAAGGGCCCCTCCCCTGGGGTTTTAGGACCCTCCCAACGCCTCCTAAGCCAGTCTTCTCTGCTCCCAGGACCCCCGGAACAAGCACAAGTTCCGCCTGCATAGCTACAGCAGCCCTACCTTCTGCGACCACTGTGGCTCCCTCCTGTACGGGCTTGTGCACCAGGGCATGAAATGCTCCTGTGAGTGAACTGGGCGTTGCCAGGGCCCTTCCAAAGCGCCCGGTCTGGGTTCTGGGAAATGCCTGGGAT